TCGCAAGCAACAACTCCAGCCCCGTGGAGGATGAGGACTCTGTAGCCTTAACCTGCGAACCCGAGACTCAGGACACAACCTACCTGTGGTGGATAAACGGTCAGAGTCTCCAAGACAGTGACAGGGTAGTGATGTCCCCGGACAACAGGACCCTCATTTTACTCAATATCTCAAGGAATGACACAGGACCCTATGAGTGTGGAAACTGGAACCCAGTGAGTGCCAGCCGCAGTGACCCAGTCACCCTGAATGTGCTCTGTGAGTATTTTCTGTTCCTCCACAGCCCAGGCTGCAGCCCAAATCCACATGGCCAGAGACCAGGCCATTCAGTCCCTCTTGGGTCCAAGTACACAGACCCTCACCCCTCGACACCCAGGCTGGCCAAGATTTCCCGGCCCAGGCAAACCCAGGCAGGCCCAGCCTTGACCAAGAATAGGAGGGAGGGGTTGCTCCTGTCTTGAGATGCTCATGGTCAACAACCTGTGATGAGAGAAACAGGTCAGTGTCTCAATGTCTCAGACACAGATTATGGCTGGCAGTTTTTGCTTTTTATTTTTTTAAAGGGTCTCACTCTGTTCCCCAGGCTGAAGTTTACTGGTAGGATCATATAGCTCACTGTAACCTTGAACTCCTGGGCTCAAGCGATCCTCTTGCCTCATCCTCCTGAGTAGCTAGGACTACAGGCACACACAACCAAGCCCAGTTAGTTTTTTTAATTTTTTGGAGAGACAAGGTCTGCTATGTTGCCCAGGCTAGTTTCAAACACCTAGCCTCAGGCAATCCTCCTACTTCGGCCTCCTAAACCACTGGATTACAGGCATGAACTGCCAGACCTGGCCAGATTGTAACTTTTTAAACACTGTTGTAACAGGATTCACAGGGACACTGTGACCCTTCTACAGACCAGGAGCTTCCCCTTTCCTCTGATGACATCACATGTGGCTTTATTCTCTTTGTCCAGATGGCCCCGACGTCCCCACCATTTCCCCCCCAGACTCCTATTACCTATCAGGTGCAAACCTCAACCTCTCCTGCCACGCGGCCTCTAACCCTGCTGCACAGTATTCCTGGCTTATCAATGGGAGTCTCCAGCAAACCACACAAGAGCTCTTCATCCCCAACGTCACTGTGAATAACAGCGGATCCTATGCCTGTGT